TAAATTTTTTTTCGAGGTTGTTAGATTGAGTTTTTTACGGAAAAAAAAATGAACGTTCTTTCGCATGCCAAATATTGGCTACGTTCAATAGAAGAAATTAAATCAGTTAACGCTTAATGATTCTTTGATATGATTAATTCTTGCCTTTAGTTCTTCGCTGCATCTAGTAGGAATTAAGGTAGGAATCAATCATATTAAATCACTAAGTGTTAATTAATTAGTTTTCTCTGCTGAATGTAGTCATTGTTGTACAGCCGTGGATAGATTGTTGCAAAATTTGTTTTCCGATGAGTTTCTGAATTCAGCCTTGCTCGTAAAGCGATTGAATGGTTACATCCATAAAGCTTATTTTACAATAGAGTCGCGAGCTATAAGAAATTAATCAATTATAGTCAATTATTTTTGTCATCAAGTGTTTGTGTTTAGTGTGATTGGTCAATTTCTTACAGCTTACTTTGCGACCTATTGTAGAACGATAAGAATCAATTGCTTCGTAAAAAGACTGTATTCCGAAATCCATCGAAAAGAAAAGAGTGTTGTAATCGTTCTGTCCCTGTACACGCTAAATTCATAATGTTAAATTATACTAATGTTAATTAATTAAAATTATTTTTATAAAAAAGTATGGTATATTAACATTACACATGCTAAGCATTAGCCAGTAGTTTAATTGAAAATAATCTTGTTATTATTTCATAAAATTATTAGTGAAATAAATATATCAGGTTCTCTTGTTTTAATAAGATATTTAATTTTAATAAGATATGTTGTTTTTTTATAAATATTAATAAGTTATGTGTGATATTAATACTGTTGTTGAATAAACAAGATTATTTTCAATTAAACTTGTTAGCTAATGTTATTCATGCATTATTTATTTCATGTATAGGTTGCCATTAATCGTATTCAGGATGTTAATTTAACTAAAACAATGAAATTAAATAATTTAATTTAAGAAATACATTTAAATCAAACTTAATTGAGAACTTAGTTTATTGTTTACTAAGTACATACATTAATAATGTTAATATAGAATATAGATATTTATTTTTAATTGTTTATTTTGAAATCAAGCTGCAAACTACAGAAATAGATCTATATTATATTTTGACATACATGGAAGTAAAAAATAATAAATGTCATTTTACTCAAAGGATTGATTTACTATTGTCCCTTTGATATCTAACAGTGCAATGGATTCAAAATAAAATAAATGATAGTTACACAATTTTATTATGTATATTGAATTAAAATTTTTTAATTTTTTTCATCATGTATTAGTTTTTTGATTATTACCTCTGTACTTCATGACATTTTTGTAAAATACAACGTTCCATATTTCTGAGTTTATTCCGATATAGTTTTGTAAATAAAAAAAAAAACGGGAATCATCAATGAGAATAATTAACACATTCGTTACTTAAGATTGTTGAACAAAATTTAATTAAATATAAAATTGATAACCAATTAAAAAAAAATACATTATTTCTGGATAGATAAATGAAAAATTAAATTCTCTAATATTTATAATAGGACACTATTATTATTCACTCTTTGAAAAAGAGAATCAGCGTATTATTACTAACTTCAGTACTATATATACTTATAACTGATGTAATCATCAGCGAATATTTACTGTTTTTTCGTAATAACATATTAATTCACTTTAGAGATTATGATTACCTGCAATGCAATTCGATCTGCAGAAAATCATAATCTCTAAAAATGTATCATTACTGAAAGTGTATCATTACTGAAAAACAATAAATATTCACTGATGATTAGATCAATTATAAGTATAGCACTGAATTCACTTTTAGAAAACAAACTCGTGAAATGTATATTTTTTTATGATCTCACAATGTAAAGGACTAACGCCGAATATATCCGAGATAGAGATATGTGTTCCAATTTTCAAAAGATCGATCTTCCCAAATAATATTAGCGATTTTAAATCGATCTATTTTGCAAAAAATTGATTTTTTTAACTAAAAAGGACTATTTTAAAAACCGATCTCTGTAAAGAATTGTTTCTTTTTTTTTTACAAAAAGGATTTTTTTCCGAAACGATCTTTTTTTTTTAAAAATCAATTTTTAGTGAATGAATCGTACATCTCTGATCCGAAGTGCCTGTTGTTAATTATATTTCAACCAGTGAAATCACCATTTCCAGAGACATAAAGCAGTTTCGTCCGTTGAGTATTAACGATACGAAAGTCACTCTCATACCAGTCGCGCGTTTCATTTACATGTTTCAAAACTTTTTCCATGAAAAATGCAAAATGTTTGCGCGCTGCAAAACTGATGTATTTCACGAGCATTTTTAATTGTTGTTACTCATTAATAATCTCACCTGCATTGTTATGTACAATATAAACGAATTTGACGTCCAGTTTTGCAATGGAATTAGGAAATGAAATGAGATTATACTACCAGAAATAATCTCGAGTAATCAAACTGTTTACTATTCAACGAGTAAATCAGCAACAACTCATGAAATTTTGTAAATATTGTAAAAATTCGTATTTATATAAATTAAATTTTCATATTGCGTTGATATAAAATTGATATAAAAACTGTCGCTTCTTGCTAAATTATTAATATTATACACTGAAAAAAACTAAATTATAATAAATATTTGTTTTAATAATTTTAAGTAAATATTTATTAAGTATAAACATATATTTGATATATTTGATATATTTGATACAAAAATCATTAATTTGATTTAACTGTCATTTTTATTCTGTAATAAATATTTATTTACTGTAAATAAACGTTTACATAATAAGTACTATTCAAAGAAATTGTATTAAGATTTAAGATTTTCTTTCAATGTACACATTATTAGGTTATAATGTTTGGAATATTTTTAAAGATTTTTATTTAATGTAACGCAGAGTTGTTTGTGCATTCCCTTGTGGAGTATATACCATTAACATGCCACGTTATATGAGATCGCTTGTACGAATAATTCTCTAGCCGCAATTGCCGAGTCGACAACACTCTATCTTGGTCCCCTTTGCCCCCTCCACGTCTCAAACTTTTACAGTTTACAAGTTTAGTTTTACGATGTAAAAAAAAATAACGCTCGGCTACCCTTATCACTTCCTTGTGCATGAAAACAAGCATGTAATTTCGTAACGCAGCAAGTTTCGCGGTCGCAAAAGCACTGCTCTAATTTAACTTTGTTAGTATGTTTGATTTCGCAAAATAATGTTGCATATTCGTAGCACTTGCGATAATTCGCACATTTCTTGTCAACAGGATCGATCGGCCGGAGAGTGGCGCTCGGAGGTGGTGAACGTCGAAGAGGAAAGAGGACGACGAGGAGGAGTCGATCTGCCGTCGAAGGTAAAGCGAGGTGGAACCGACTGAAAAAGAGAAGAAAAAAAGAGGAAGGCTGAAAGCGAAGAGAGACGCGGTGGTGGTGGAGACGGCAGAGGGGTCGAAAGGTTGAGCGACCTACGGATCAAGACGAGGAGGAGGTGGCGGAGAGAAAGGGGCGGCAGAGAGAAGGCAGGAGGGATAAGAGAAAGAGGGAGAGAACGATCAGAGAAGAAGGACGGAGAAATGATCTTGGTAGGTGATTGGCAAAGTGTTGTGGTGGTCGACTCCTCGACGAAAGGCAGATAGCGCCATTAGTCGTTGCCGGGGCACGGAACATCGGGCCCATGCGCGTTGCGGCCCTGGCCGTGGGTGAAGAAGGGGAGGAGGAGGAGGAGGAGGAGGAGGACGAGGAAGAGGAGACGGAGGGCCATACGGGGCACCACTACGGGGCCCGCGGGCCCGCGATGCGCTCCGCGGTTGCCGCGACAGTGGGGGGCAGGAGTCAATGGTCCATCACGACGTGTTCGATTTTCTATGTGCTGTTACTGCTGCCCGTTTGGATTCCGATGGCCGTCGTCGACGCGTCTCCCCTTCATCCCGCACCTCCATATAGAGGTGAGTCACATTTGGTTCTCTTTGTTATTCGGTAAAGTTAAATTGACTCGGTGTCCCCAAAATTCGTATGCTGGATCTGTGTCTTCAAATCGAGAGTACATGTCGAATTTGAGATCGAATTGGGAAAAATTGAATTTTTACGTACTAATTCTTTTCGCGTGTGATTATTTGATTTTTTTGATGGAAAATCAAAAATCAAGATTATTTTTTAGAGAATTATTAGTTAAATCTAATAGAATAAAAAAAGGTCTGTTACACTTTTTATGCATTGTTATTTTTGTAATATTCAGAAATACTCATAATGTTAATTTAGAAGGTTTTATTTAACAAATATTTGATTCCTTCATTTTTCGAAATATATCTTGTCATTTTTATTCAAATATTTTTAATATTTCAAATATCAGTGTTCTCAAATATTTGAATTGTAATATTAATTTTTTTTATATATTTGTCAATATTATTGTATTTATTTTTAAGTAAATTAATATTTTAGAACAGAATATATAAATATACAAATTAATGCTCATTTATTTTCTTATATTAGGTGTAGTAAAAAAAAATCCATTATTTTTCCATTCAATTTCATGCAAAAATAATGGATTTCTTTTTACTACACCTAATATTATAAAATCTTATATTATAAAATATTAATATTCTAGCCATTTGTATAATATTTATATTTATATAATATTATATAAGATATTAAATATGTACGATATATCTGAAAAATTGTCGAGTCGTTTGATTTAGTAAAGTTTAAATTGAAAAAATATTGGTTTAGTGGCGATCGTATACCCACGTGGGAGTCTCCGGATGACTTATATCGAAATCCGCGCCGGTCGATGTCCCGAAGGGGTCCATCCGCTTCGGTAGTAGCCTTAAAGTCCGATACTCGCCTTTGTCCAGCGTGTTCCTTTTGTGTTCTGATCGTTCGATCGGTAGTATTTACCGAAACAATGGTACGCTATCCTAAACGGTGTTCTAATTGTGATCTGGAAACACGTGACATAAATTGCACTTAGCCTTGCCCCATTGATCATTCGAGCCATTTACTTCGAAAGTTGCTTAAATTACGTGTTCAATGTCCGTTCGTTAAAATATAGATATACCATGTAATATGTAGTCGTGTTTTAGATTCCTTAAATTCATCGCGCGGTTAGTACAAAAATCGAAAAGTATGGGAAAAGTAATTGATAGCTGTAAACAAACCGTGAAACAACGCTAAGATTTATTACAAAGAATAAAACAATAACAAAAAGTTATTAAATTGAATGACAAATAACGATTTTTTTACTCATCTTTCATTCTCTGGAGGAAAATAATTACACAGAAAAAAAAGATTGGTTGCTGTGACAATTTAGATAGTAAAATATGGCATAGCATTTTTTATATGGCTGCAGCAACCAGTTTTTGGTTGTAGCAGCAAATTTTTAGTTGCATTAGAATCATAGCTATCGAAATCATATACTGACATTGCGAATAGGTTAACACAACTAAAAATTTGCTGTTACGATCAAAACTAGTTGCTGCAGCCATGTAAAAATCCCATATTTTATTATTAAAGTTGTTGCAGTAACCAATCTTTTCTTTCAGTGTAGATATTTTACGGTGGGAAAAAAGGGCGCAGGTAGCTGGATTCGAGAGTGACTAGATTGAATCCGAGTTTTAACTTTTCAAACGGTTGTTGAGCCACACAGAATCTCACGCATATTAATATATAATCAGAAACCCTTAAGTAAGATAGTCAAGTCTGGATATTTGACTGGACTAATATGGCGACAACATTCGATTCTTTATTGTAGAGTATATAGACTTCCATAGTCTATCTTATACTTTCTACAATGCCGTCATATTATATCGTGAAAAAATTACTGATCTAGATTCTCACTTGAGAGTTCTCTTTTATATATTTTTTTGTGCACTCATATGTATCTAAATAACGCTGCGTTACGATTATAATATAATTAATAAAATTATACCGAATAAATTTTATTTTTTCTGAAATATTCGTTGAATTCTTCAATTTTTGTTTTTGCGTGAAACAGTATTGATTTTTAAGCTCTTTAAGTGCGTGCCGTTAAAATTTTTCTGTATTAGTGGATTGCTTTTGCATATATATATATATATATGTGTGTGTGTGTGTGTGTGTGTGTGTGTGTGTGTGTGTGTGTGTGTGTGCGTGCGTGTGTGTGTGTGTGTGTGTGTGTGTGTGTGTATAATTACTATAAAAATATCGGAATATTATAAAATTTATTATATTGAAATCCAGCGACAGGACTGATGATTAATGTGTGTGCATTTTCTCGGTAAAGTGGACGCAAAACAAGTGCACTTCGGCTGCTGCACTTGTCCGAGATCTGAAAACGCGTCTCTGAGGAGCTCTCTCGGCCGAGTGGTCGTGGTGAATGCTCGAGCATTCGTTTCCTCTTAAAATTTCCGTGATCTTTTCATCCTAAAATACTAAAAGAGTTTTCACGAAGTGAGTGTAATATTTCACATTGTGTATATATGCGCGAAAGTAAATTAATTGATTTTGCAGCGCTTTTGCAATGAGACATCGGCATCTGAAGTGAATAGATTTAATTGATAGAGTGAAAGAAGATCTTTGATATAAAATCATATTAGCAACAGGAAATCCAATGAAAGAGTACGTATATAACTATAGTTTTATAAATATTGCAAGTATTGTCATTGCTAAAAGGCAAAATATTTCAATGGATACTTTAATGAATCATCTGAGACTTATTTTAATAGTTAAAAAAAGAAATTTTAAAAAAGTTCATTTTTAATTTTGTAATTTATTCTCATTGATACTTTTTTTATGATTAAAATTTAGATTGCATTTCTAAATGAAAGGATAAATATTTTTGTATACTCGATGTTAAATATAACTATCCAATTTTAATTTGCAATAAATATGGATATTATGTAGAATTAGTGAAAGTTTGTACTTTTATAAACATATTAATATATTACATGTAAACATTCAGAATTAGGAGTTAGTTCCGTAAATATGAATGTGTTTATTCAATATTACTTATTATCATATTTAATATATTTAATAAACTGCTTGATTTTACATTCCATTGAGATTGTGATAGAGATCAGAAATAAATTATAGTTTCTAATTTTAAACTTTTAGTAGGTAGAGAAATAGGTGAAATTAGAATACCTCAAATTTTATTTTTATAGATATATATTTTTTCATAGAATATGTATAGAGTTAAATTTATTTTTATATTCTTAGGAGATAGAAGAATATAAAAATAATGAACTTTAAGGCCTTCTAGACGATACTTTTTATTTTCTTTTTGTAGAATAAGGTTTTAAAATAACTATGTATGGGGGTGCTGTGATCACCTATTCACTTAAAAGTTAAATATGAAGACAAGATATGAAAATGTCAAAATCTATTTCTATTTTTCGTGATATATATAAATTATATTATACTTAATTTTACAATGATCTTAGTACATAAAAAAGTTAGTATAGTCATCGCGTTTTTTCCCACTGTGAGCAATCAAGCGCGAATTATACACGCGTTTAAGGTGCGTTTATATCATGTGGCAGAACTCAAGAACTATGATGTAAAAAAGAAACTGCGATATGTTAGAAAAACTAGTCTGGATCGTTTTTCTTTGACTTTGTATTATTAAAAACTCTCAATAAGGATATAAAATTATTATTCTTTAGCTATAATAGAAATTTCTTTAACATTTCATAAAAAGGAATTTAAAAAGTATTTTTTAAAGATAAATTTGCATTTATAATTGTACACTTGTTTGTAAGGAAAAAAAGTCTACTAACACTAATAACATAAGTTTTTCAAATGAGTTTTATGTCGCGTTCCTTTTTCTTCGTTTTATAAAAAAGAAAGTTAATGGAACGATTTCTTTTTATTTATTTGAGAATCATGAACGCTTCGCCTTCTCAATCACGCCTGTGGTCACATCTAATACAAATGCATTTTTACGACGCAACTCATCTTCGCGTGACTCGCGATTTACCGTTTGCGCAATGCATTTTTCTTAGACAGTCACTAATAAAACATCCGTTTTCCTGATTGTGTACTTTTCAGATATCACGCGCTCGTATATCAGGTATTACGAGGCAGCCATGTATGACACCGTAGCCTTGAAACGACATCGCAACCGGATACGTCGTGACGTCACCGACTCCAAGCAACCCCTGATTTTGAATCTGAAGACGCTCGATAGGTGAGTATGAGTTCTATAAGCAAACTCCTCTCTACCTCGGTACACACTCTTCCCTCGCTCGCAGTGTGTTCCGTGCAAAGACGAAAAGAGATCGATACGGAATCTGAGCATCCAAAGAGTTTGCTGAAATATCGGGATCATCATCGAACGTCCGTTCTAAATCGAGATAAGGAATGTCTTTGAAACTCTTGAAAAATTAAAAATTCCGGATTCCACAATTCTACAGTGGTTAAAGAATTTTGTGCGATTTAACAATACAGGCGGAAATATCTCCGAGTACGTTACTATTATATGACCTCTTGCAAATGGCATTTCGAAATTGGCGAATACGTGAACCTCCTACACACTGCTCGTAAAGCGATCGCGGACAAAGTTGCCAGTATGCCGCCCGCACGTTCTCGGTATGTCCTTGTTAGGTCAGTGGTACCTGAATCCGATTAAAGAGATGGTGGTCATGAGACTAATTCAACATATAACTTAGCTCGTATGAATCGCATGCGTGTTGCGAAATTATTTTACTTTATTAATTATACATATTAATTAATGCGAATATATCTTGTTTCTCTTGCTTTGCTTTTGTCTCTCTTTTTTTTAAGATAGAAATTTGTGATCTTCATCAAGAAAGAAAGTTAATTCTGTTTACTAGTATTTCGAGTCACTAGGCATTCTTCTTTTTATATCACATAGGTCATTTTTTATTTTTACTTTTAATAAAGTATTTTCTCTTATATATCCTACTACGTCCAATGAAACATATGAAAAATAATGTTAAAGTATTTTCTGAAGTGAGAAATTTTTGTTACGAAGCAATTACAATGATAATGCTTATAACAATTGAAACATTCATAAAAGATGCTCCCTCTGTCCTTCTCTCTCTTTTCCGTGTTGAATATCATAATGTTTGTATGTCGAACTGGATTTACTATTAGGAGCAGCAATCACGGAGTTTCTCTCTCACGGTTATTTAATATAAGAGATGCAACAAACACAAATGGCAGAAAGTTCAATTTATGACAGCACTGCAGTTCAGCAACAAACCGCGCTCTAACCACTGTCGGTGTATTATGGCGGAACCGTTTAAATATTGAATCGCGCTTTCACTCGCAGCGTATTTACGAACTTAAGAAATAGCCGTTAGGTAACGGTCCGACTTCAGCCGTGTGAAATTGGCTCTCCAACTTTTGACAAAATTAATTTTTCATAATTCATTCGATTGCTCATCGTTTGTACATTTATGCACATTTTGAATTTTTTCTTGCATACTTTTAATAAGAAAATTATTAAAAAAAGAATTTTGAAAGAAGGCTAACTTCACTAGCTAGCTCCCCAATTTCGAGCAAATTGAAAAAAAATCATAATCGATAGATTTTCGTTTGCACATTTCGAAAAAAATTCGATTTTCCGTTTGCACACCTTTAGTTAAAAAGTTATTAACAGTAAAAGTTTCGAAAAGAGTCGGCATTAAGTTCGAATCGTACCTATGCTCAAAATAGCAATCGTTAATTTTTTTTTAAAAGGTTTTTGTTTGCATATTTCGAAACAAATCGATTTTTTGTTTACACACCTTTATTAGGTAGTGTAATTTTGCAATTTTAACCGACTTAGTGATGAATATGACTGTTTGCTCCAAGAGGGAAATGCTTTAAAAGATGAAGCGCAAAAATTAAAACTATGTGAATATAAAAGTAGCACATAAGTAGCACATAAATCCTATGTATTTGATTTTCCATATCGGTTGTTATTAACACGTGGAGAAGGCTGATTAACAGCCTACTCAACCCCCCAAAAATATTTTTTAGCTGAACTAAATGAGCGCAAAAATTTTTGAGAGTGCATAAATAGCATTATTATATAATTTATTCATTAAGATTTGGTTAAGTAGGGAGGGAGGGCAGCTAGGCAAACGTATTTATTTATTGGTATAAAGTTAGCTCCTCCCAAAATTGTTTTTTAAATAACTTTTTAATTGAAGGTGTATAAACGAAAAATCGACTTGTTTCGAAATGTAAACGAGAAACTATCGATTCATGTTATTTTGAGTAGGTACAATTCGAACCTATTTGCCACTTTCGATCCTTCTCGATTGTGAATATCTTTTTAACTAAAGGTGTGCGAATAAAAAATTGAATTGTTTCGAAATGTGCAAACGAAAATCTATCGACTATGCTCTTTTCGATTCAATTTGCTCGAAGTTGGGGGGCTAGTGTTAAGTTAGTCCTCCTAAAATTATTTTTTTAATAACTTTCTTACTAGAAGTGTGCAAACGAAAATTCAAAGTGTATATAAACGATGAGCAATCGAATGAGCTATAGAAAATTGATTTTCTCAAATGTAGGGGGATCAACTTTATACGGGTTATGACTTCATTTTATCTTTCGAATTGTAACGATATGACTTTTTCGAATTTTTCCTAATTTGCTTGTTTCAGTATCGCACATAAACAGTACATAAACAAGCAAATTATAAGCTTTTCATTTTCCTGATATATTATTTTATTTATTATTAACAATATTTTTTATGAGTTGCAAAATTATGCATCTTGCTTTTGTTTATTATTTTTTGGTATAGAGAATGTAATAGAAAAAAAATTAATCTTTTTGTTAATTGTGAAAAATTATGTTTTTTTATTTCAATTCATAAAATAAATTTGAATTTCATAGTTTTAACTTTAATTTAAATGTTAGCATAAATAATAGAATTTTCTTGTTTTATGCCAAATAACATAGGTATATTTTAGAATATCTATTTATATCTTGTGCCGTTTTTTAGATACATCTGAGATTGTTCAAGAATAGACGAATTAGTTTAAATCAAACAAAATTTTGAATTCGATATTCCTTTAACTATAATTCATCATAAATATTAAAACGATTATAAATGAAATAGAAATTAAATTAATAAATGAGATACGATAGAAATTGAATCTATAATTTTGGGATTGATTATTAGTACAGAAATATCGATATTTGTAACAAAAAACAAGGATCAAAAATAAGATAAATTTTTATCAATGTCTTTCAATTTCACTTTTGTTGATTTTTTTATCTTCTTAATTTTACATAATTTAATTTTCTTTTTGTATTGAATTAAATTTGCAATTTTTTTGCGCTGGGACGTATATATTATTTCATTTCGTCATTTTAAAAATAAATTTATTACTTTTTAAATTAATTAATAGGATTACGTACATATTTTAATATTATGTATATAAAATACAACGTATATATCTTTCTAATTGTACTATTAGATAATTGTATCAATTTATAATAGATCATATTTAATGAATTGTGTAATTGTATTAACCGCTTTATTCGGTCTGTTCGAAAATTTACGTTTATATATCAGTATCAATATTATGTGAACAGAAATACAAACTATCTTTCCAATTATTATACTATTAGACAATTATATCAATCCATAATAATAGATCGTATTAAACAAATTGTATTAAACCCATTTAATTTGATCTGTTCGGAAATTTCGCCGAATTTTGCATTTCATGAGGAAAGTGAGACAACGTTAAACACATTTGTCCAGCTATACATTATGCAGGAGACCGTGACGACCGCGTGCACCATGTATGTAGATTGCAAAGTTACAACAAATGGTCCAGCATCTCAGTTGTGGCGAGGTGACTCGATAGAAATGGTTTACGTGCGAGCCCATCGGCGTCATTTCTCCTTTCTTCCTACTCCTTCCACTCTGTCCCTCCCTCTCCCTTTGGGAAAAGGAAAGGGAGACAAGTTCTCGAGGAAATTTCGCCCGTAATTCATAGACGTTAAGCTAATTAACTGGCTGGTACTTCTTGATCCGACAGTCCGGAGGATTTGCGGCACTCTGGAGAGGGAAAGAGGAAGAGGAAGAAAGAAAGGAGAGAGCGATTCTCTCGGTGAAGTCGAGGAGTCAAGAAGCGAAGTCGAATTCTGTGATTTCCGCGTGCTGGATTTAGACGCGTGTAATTACCACTAATTGCGACGACGACGATGACGACGCCGACAACGATAACGATGTCATTGTCCTTCTTTTGCGTCTCTCACTGGTGTGATTACTCGTTACTTTCGAAAATTTGCCGCAGAGGAAATCCGTTGCTCTACGTGTGTCTCCTTAAAGTTGTGGAATTAGGATGTTGGCGATGTTAGTGCAACTGGTCTGTGTGTTGGAAATAGTTGTCTTCTTCCTCTGAAAAAGAGATGTGATATCCTTTGTAGCTTCGCTTAGCGGGAATGAACGTTGACAGAACAAGGTACGAATCAGAATAGTGTAGTGTTTAATAGTATTTATTTCAAATTTTTGCATGTAAATAGAAAACACTTTACATATTTGTGCAATTTTTAGCAAGTCAATTATGCTATAATCGATCGCGATTGCCTGGTTACAGGCCATTTATTTCATTGCGTTATGACTTGCTGTTATCGTCTTACTGTGCATTCCGTCGAGCACACAATATTCGCTACCGTCCTACGTTCCAGCAATTCCGGAGAGTATCAGTCTCGAAAGAATTTTAGTTCACGAAGAATTTTCTACGTAAAACTGTCCAGGGAATGTTAAATAAATGAGTACGAGAAAAAGCCAACTAGGATAGTAGAAAAGAGAAAGAGAGAGAAAGAGAGAGAGGGGGAGGGAGGGAGGGAGGGAGGGAGGGAG